GGTAGATTATAATATTCTTTTCCTCATACTCTTCCTCATACTCTTCCTCCTACTCTTATAGATTGTCAATAGCTAATACGCTAGAGGTACTGCCTGGTGATACCTATTAAAGTTGAAACTACGGTTACATCATTTTAGCGTCTTAGTTTTAAGGAAATATATGTGTGTGTGTGTGTGTGTGAGAGAGAGAGAGAGAGAGAGAGATAGAGAGAGGGGATCTATGGAAATTAAGGAACCTCATATTGTGAGTACAACAATATAACTAAATTAACAAGTAAAACTGAATAACGACTTTACATAAAAAGTTATTTTCCTTTTGTTTCTTATAAGTAATGGAAAAAGTCGACATTTTCCTGATCAAGAACTTGTGTATTCTTGTGTATCCCACTTCGTTTCTGTCAAATATCAAAGCATATGGGGGTAAATCTGGGAAAACGATTTAAAAAAATGGGGAAAGCTATAATAAGTTAAGTTCGTGATTTCCACAATAGTATTGAGATGAAATCAGCAACAACGACTTAATTTATGAAATCACTATACTAATTCACACTTCTATATCTGAAAACGCATACGTATTTTATAAGATATTTACCTCTGATTTTAATGTCATATGTCTTCCTTCTGGATACAGATATCCATTGTCACATGGTAAATGAGCTACAACACTTTCATTAATGTGTATCTCGATATCGCATTGTTTGTAGACAATTTGGCTGTTAGTTGACATGGTGATATTCATTAAACTCTCGTTTTTCAGTGGTCGACATTGCATTGGAACGCTGGAAACTATCGGAAAAGAAAATAATATTAGTTTTCCTGACAAAATTAATCACATGGAATCAAAACAATTTTTGATAATTTTCAAAATCTTAGAAAGGATATTCAATAGTTATTAACGATAAAAGGCAAAAAAAATATGATTTTAAACCAATTTAAAATCTCCATCACCATTACTACTTAATATGAAATCAATACTACACATAATGTAGTGGTACGCGCGTTTTCGGAAACATGAATACGAAGGTCAGCAAAAAAAGTGACATTTCTTCATTAATTACAACAGATTTCATCGCACCCAAAGCATACGAAAATGAACAAAGTCTCAAGATTTTAAATCTAGCTCTCAAGTTAACGGTATTTGAACATCCAGGAATGGGAGTGTGTTGTTACTCTCTTTCTCCATTGTGAACTGCATCGAAGGTCTTATTGAGTTCACGTGGTCCAGTAGAACCTGAACATCTTCCTGGTGGGCAGAGTATGAAGGCGTCATCTACGTAGTTGGCTTTAGAGATGTTCCTGGATGTTCTAATATCTCGAACAGAGCATGGGTTTAAGACATCCGTATACCGTAAACCGACATTCACCGGACAGTACCTCAATTTCAACTCCCACCATCCATACAGCGTAAAGAAAGGGATCGTCCGCTGCTACAACACCGAGCAAAAGTCATAAGTGGCGACCCAGAGACATTAGATAAAGAATTGGTCATTATAAGTAGTACCCTACGACGTAACAACTACCCTGGGTACATGGCAGCAGCCCCCCAAAACTGGGATAGGCGGGTACAAGAGGAAGACAACAACACTCAGAAAACAGTCTGCCTGCCTTATGTGAAGGGGTTATCAAAGAAAATACAAAGGATCTGCAGTCCATATAGCATCAGGACAATCTTCAAAATCTGGACGACACTTCACAGATATCTCACCCGAATAAGACGCCACCCACATAGGAGAACATGACTAAAGACTGTGTGTACGCTATTTCGTGCAGCTGCAGAAAGAAATATAAAGGGGAGACAGGCCGCCCCTTTAAGGTAAGGCTTAAAGAACACTAGAAAGCTGTAACATGAGAGGAAGTGGAAAAATCAGATGTGGCTGACCGCATATGGAGAGCGAAGGGAGATCACCGCCCTCTGTGGGATCAGGTTGAGATCATAGACAAGGAACACCATTGGAAAATTCGTAAACTTAAGGAATCAGCACATATGCTAGGCCACAAAAATCTCCTGAGCCAACCAAGCATAGAAATAAATACAAGATGGCTACCAGTAATAAGGAGTGCCAGAGAAAAGCAATGATAACAAAGTTGCAATATGAGCTTTGGTAAAAACATGCAATGATAACAGCAAAAAATGCAATATGAGCACTGGTAAAAATGGTTGCTGAGACATTAGGTTTATAATACCCAGAAATTCGCGCACAGATTTTCATGCAAGGGCACATGTGGATAAAGGCGCTGGTTAGATTCAGTGACAGGACCCAAAGAGTGTGAGTTCAATACCCGGTTAAAGCAGTGGAGACCTTTCAGAGGGAATTTAACAGGAGATAACTCATAACTGACATCCATTAAACATTCTAGAACAGTCTACCCCAGTGAGCGAAGTAAAGGGTTCAGTTCGACATTCCAACCACCTGAAGAAGGTCGGAGCGTACAACGACCGAAACGTTGTGATAAATATGGCGACTATAGTCCGAATAATGTAAATAAGGAAAAGTGAAATCCATAAATTTTGAAAAGCTTTTACCAGAAATTCTAATTCTTTTACAATAGGAAATAATTACTTTTTGAATTTCGCATACGTACCGTTATTGGAACATCTCTCTCTCTCTCTCTCTCTCTCTCTCTCTCTCTATATATATATATATATATATATATATATATATATATATATAGAGAGAGAGAGAGAGAGAGAGAGAGGAGTGGTTAGAACGTTCACTTTCCAACTATGAGACCTTGGTTCGTATCTTGACATATTTGACAGAAAGGTGATTTCATTGTTATCGGTCTGGGAAAGCGATCCCAGTTTGGCCCACAATGCCAGAGGCGGATGTTAGGCAGCAGTAGTTGAACTTTCCCACCAATAACCCATAATTCGTTTTATTTTGTTGAATAATAACAACTGAACGGCAGTCCAACAAAAAAGACGTCTGATATACGAAGTCGAGATCATTGAATTCCTCCATGCGAAAAGAATTTCATTCATTGACATTAATGACAATCGACGTTTACTGAACGTATACAGAGTCCAAACAGTGGGTATAAGCTAAATTTGCGATGGTTAATGCGTTTCGGCAGTGGTTATGTGTGTGACAAGTCATATCCCGTGTATTCCTGCACAGTGGTATCTATGTGAAAAGATAATGATTTATAGCTGAAGCCTTGCTCGAACTTAAAGAATTATTGTTCTTCCTCTATTTAATCATTTAATGTGACTTTATTCGAAACAAAGCTTGAGTTCATATTCTTAATTGTCCTACTGAGAATTGTGTCACAGAGATTTCTTCTTGGGTTAAAATCGGCATTGTACCTTCTTTTAAAACCACAATATTCTCCTTAGTTCAAACCGGCCTATTCAGCCGCTATTGTCTGCAGGAATCACTTTTTTCTGGATGCACCGGCATGATAGTTTCGATCATAACAAACGTTTATTTGTGTTTATTCGGAATAATTGTAAACGTGTCCTCAAAAACGTAAAGCCTTTGTTTGCTGATAGAATGAAGCACCGTATAGCTTCTAACATGTTTGGCTCTCCTGACTACTGGCGGCTTTGTAAGAATGTCTTAAATGAGATTAAAAGTCTTCTATCCCTCCTCCTCTCTTCATGGAATTTAAGGTGTTAAGATATTCTACTGATAAAGCAAAATGTCTGGCTCGTAACCTTTAAATTCTATCCATGATATCTGCTCCTCAATCTCTATTGTGATATAACTCCATCCTGGGGCCAGTTCAATGGTCTACTACATCTCAATTTTTATAAGATAGTGGTCTTATAAGATACAAATTTTACGTACTATAATGGATCATATGCAATATGTGAAAAATTCAACTAGAAAAATTGAAAATAAATGCAATGTATCTAAATATAAATTAGAGATATAATAGATCAATCCATCTTAAATAAATCGACAGTATTTTGCGGGAATTTTTAATATCAACTCAAGATTTTTTTTCTTAAAAATTAAATAATTTTAACACATTCAACATTATGGATAAAAAATTAGTAATTTTTATATAGTGTTTATTTGAGACTTAGCATGAGCAAAGCAAATTCACGGATTTGGTTAAAAAAAAAAAAAGACTGCAGAATGACATCAAAAGCTGAAAATATTTTTCATCCTTTAATAGTCAGTTGTGCTTAGTTTAATTTGTAATGTATCTAAATGTAGGTAGAAAGAAGCAAATGTTGATACGATAGTGAGGGTCACAAAGTACTGCCAGAGGCCTCCAATCAGGCCTGGCTCCTCCAGGTCGTGCGGATATATGCATTGACCCTGACTCCGTCCATAGTTTCTGCTATCATCTCTATCTTCTGTATCTTCCACAAAGCATGTGGACTTGATGCTATCCCTGCAATAGTCCTTAAGAAATGTGCTCCTGAACTGGTTCCTGTTCTCTCTAAACTATACTATAAATCAAAAGTTGGGACGTAGATTGAGATGAGTTTCATGAAGTAGGGGAATGCGGAGGGATATCAGGTGCTTGTTGATAGTTTTGGAAGGAGATTGTGAGCATGTACCAGCATGTTCTGGAGATGGAATATCCGGATCTCGCTTCGAAAATTCTTCCTTTGTTTAATATTCTGATTTCACTGAGGGGCATCGATGTTGTTGAGTGCAAGCTCCTTGCAGACGAGGGCAGTCCTCCGTTCACGCCTTGCGTCATCTCGAAGATCGGGGAGCGTTCTAACATTCCATGCGACAACATTCAAGGTAAAGTATTTGAGACAATCGAAATATTAAAAAAAAAAGATAATCGATCGCAACAAATGGGAACCCGCTGGGCGCAGTTTTCCATCCAGGCGAAGGTGTGATGGTCTCCAATGTTTAGTTCACCCCTTTTTTTAGGGCCTTCCTCTATTAAGAATTCCTAAAATAGGCCTGCCCAGCCACAAATATCCGAGTCGCCGTCATTTCTCCAGTATGCTTCCTTCACACACCTTCCGCCTACGTGCAACTTGGTGACTAGAGGCTTCCAGCTGATCCACAGCCTGCCACTGTTACCTCCGCCTCGTCACCGTAAGGAAATTTGAAGAAGAGTGCATGAGAAGAAGAAGAAGAAGAAGAAGAAGAAGAAGAAGAAGAAGAAAAGCCTTTGAGCTTGAAAGCCTTGGCTGTGAATTCTTTGAGGTGGTCCATGTGTCGCCACTCACTTCAGATGACACCATCCAATGTGGCAAACTAGGGTTTGACAGGCAGGTTCATGATGACAGGTTGCTGAATTGTTTTCATACGTAGAACGTCATCTTGACCGCCTACTCACTGGATGTCGTGCTTAGTTTGGCCTCTTTCCTGAATACTTACCGACATAAGTGACCCTACCTGGAGACGGAGCTCCCGACGGCACTGCATTCAGGTTCCTCGAGACGCACAAGCTCCTTCACTACAACACATTGTATACACATTATATACATTACGTGTATAAAAGAAGCTAACTAAATCAACGTCTTTTTTCCGTATATGAAATATTAGGTATACATAAACACTAGAAAGTAAGACAAATTAGGAAATAGTACATGCATAAACAAACACAAATATCAAATAAAAGTTTGTTCTTTAAAAACAACAGAAACACTCGAATATGAAGTCATTATTTGACATATAATAAAATCATTTATACTGCTTTTTTGACAATACTGACACTTGGATAAAAAGAAATAAATACTAATACAGAAAAAATCTGGTAACTGTGGAAAAAGTTGAAAGAAATAATAATAAACAATACATATATAAATACATATATAACTTCAAACAACGACAACAACAACAATAATAATAAATGAAATAAATAATAATTGCAAATTATATTTATATTACTTTTAGCAATATTTATATTTTTCAATTAAACTTAAAATCTGCTAATTTTTTGGAGCTTCGTCAAAACGCGTTATCTCGACTTGATTTCAGAACGCCCCTATCAGTGGACTGGACCTGGACAATGTTCAAAATTTTCTTGGTAGCGTACTAACATCAAATGCATCCGCTGAAAAAGACGTCGATAACCGAATCAATTCAGCCCACGCAGCATACGAGAAGCTATTCAAAAGAGTTTTCGGTAATCCTGGGTTAACACAAACCAACAAGCTAATAGCCTACCGAGCTGTTGTAATCTCGAATCTCCTGTACGCCTGTTAGACCTTGGGTACTCTACCGAAGAGACATACGCAAACTTGAAAAATTCCATTAAATGAAACTTCGTCAAATACTGCGGAACACGTAGCAGAGCCGGACCACGAACAACGAAGTTTTCCTCCGCGCAAAGATGGAGAGCCAAGAAACCATCATGACTTGACACCGCGTTCGATGGGCCGGACACCTTGCCTGAATGCCATATATTCGCCTACCCAAACAAATCCTCTTCTCGGAGCTCGCATCTGGCAAGAGACCATGTGGAGCCTGACGTCGTCGATTCAAGGATCAGCTCAAAAAAAACTTGCTAAAGACAAAAATTGAGAGACGGTCAATTGGGAAACGGAAGCTACAGAAAGAATCAGTTGGAGAAGAGCAGTCCACGAAAAAAACATCTTTCGAAAACACCAGAAGACAAATAGAAGAGACGAAGAAAGACCAAAGAAAAGCTAGAACTCTCCATCCCCTGAACCCTCCTACCCTACCATTCGATGGCTCCGGACGTTGCTTCAGTCCAACATATGACTCATTTCACACAGAAGGAAATGTCTATGAGCATCCCAATACTCGTCAACGAGTTCCGCCAACGATTACGATACAATAAAAGCCTTGCTGCTTCTTGCTTTGCTGATTGTTGGAAGAGTCTATCAAGCTTTAGATAATAATAGTGAAGCTTGCGCTGTTGCTTTGAATATCTCGACAGGGTTTGATTTTCTCCACAACGCATAGAAAGGTTATAATATTTCTGGACAGATTTTTTAACTGATTCGGTCTTTCTTAGTAGTCAAATGAAATTGTCTTGAACAGACACTTTCCCAGCTCTTTTTGCATTAATGCAGGTGTTCCACAGAGCTCTATACTTGATCCTAGGTTGTTCTGAATTTTCCTAAATAACCTCCATAAGGTCATCATTTCTCAACTCGGTAAGACACATGCTGTATTTATTAAGTATTTATTCTTGCTTTAATAGTAAATCTGATCGCTCGATGAAGTCAATTTCTCGGTAACTGATGTCAAATATGATCTACAATATGTAGTTAGCTGAGTCGAGGAATAGTTTGTTAATTTTAACGTTTCCAAAAATAAACTGCTCTCTTTTAATCGTCTGAGGTATATAAAAAAAAATCTTCCCCCAACATGATTGATTCTAACCTACAGGAGAGTGACTTATTGCACCTTCTAAAACTAACGTTATTCGCTGACAAGATTATACTAAATCAATTATTATATTGAATCAATTCCTAAGTCTACTGTTAGGAAGGTTGCTTTACTCTGTCGTGCTAGACATTTTTTTCTCGACAGAATTTATCTTACATAGCGATCATTCGTTCTTGCTTTGAATATTTCCACCGGCGTAACGTAGCTTCCCTGTGTCTTTTCTATAAATACTTTCATGGTAATTATTCTGATAAAATTTTCTCTTTGGTACCTAGACTATGAATTTAAGCGCAGTACCCAATTGCCTGTAAGGTCTCATCATTTTTACTGTTAAAATGGTTAGATGTAGTGTTAAAATGGCGAGATTTTACTGTTAAAATGGCTAGATGTAATGGCTAGATGCTAATTTTTATGTCAACAGTTTCTTCTATTGCACTTCTAGCTTGTAAAACTCTTTCGGCATCTTGCTTCCCAGTCAACATTGATATTCAAAAATTTAAATGCAATGTCAGTCGTTATATTTTTTTCTTTTTAATTATCATTCTTTTATTGTTCTCTCTCCTTAAAAGTGTTTCGTTCTCATATTCTCTAACAATCAGTAACCCTTTGCGTCTTATAGGCTTCATTGCCTTGATTGGAGTGAAATGATTAAAACAATCTATTTCGATGGAAATAAATAAGAACCATTACTTTCAGAGCATCCCGCACATATGTGTATGTGAAAAAACAAATATTTACAAAGATTAACTGAGGCATATTGTGCCTATCTTCCAAGTGGGGACTAACTGCTTTGGATATTAGCATTCAAAATCTAGTTTTCCCTATAATCTGAAGAAGTGCCAATGAAAAAAAAGGGATCTAACACCGCCACTCAGCTGAAATGGAAACTGGCTCGCTCTAAAAAAAATAAATTTAAAAAAAATAAAAAATGTAACGATAAGTTAATGTTCTAAAATCTCCAGCTATGTTTGAATAAATATTTAAAAAGCAGAATGCATAATTTTGATGGCAATAAATGTTACCTCAATTAAATGTGTTTATTAACAACTACAGTAGTAGCATATAGGTTGATAAATTAGAAGTTCAGTCTTAATGACCAATTTTGGAAGCTCGTTACCACAAAAGCATTGAGAGGAGTGAGCACACAAATTTTACTTTTTGTTAAATAATTCAATTTTAGAAAATGTTTTTTTTCAAAATCAGGATTTTATTTTATTTCAATATTTCAGAAGTTAATCAAAGTAATTGAATTGTCAGTAGTATTCAGGGTGGATTAATGCATTTTGAAGTTTACATTATCTAAATTTTAACCGAAAATAAATTCATTTTCTTGTTATATATGTATTGTATGATTCATTATTTGTAGCGGTAGGAAAAGGATTATTCTCGCGTAATTTCGATAAAATTCCACATGCTTTTCAAAATTCATTCAATAATAATTTGTTAACTTTCCAATTTCCCTTGAAGCAATCGCAAGTGCAATATGAAGGCTATTATTTTAATAAACAATTCAAAAACTACTTCTCGCTGCTAAAAATACCAGACTTTTATAGCAGACGATATAAATACGCGCAGATTGTTCAAAATAAATATAATTTAATGAAAATCATTGAAAGATAAATACTATAATTAATAATTTTATACTTTATTATGTTAACAATTGTTTTATGTTAAGATCTACAGTGTTTAAAAGAGAAATGCTGCATTAAATATCTAAGAATCATTTGGACACACAAACCTGTGTCTCTCTTTAACATTGATTAAAGATAAAACTGAAAAGATCATTGACTGTAACCTAGATTAAATGTTCCCAACTAATAACTGTGAAAAATTAACCTTACATTGAAGAAAGAATTTTTAAATTTTTCTTCAATATAAGGTTTACATGTCAATTTTTTGAATGGTGATTTTAAAGTGAGGCCAGCAACAAATAGACCCATTCCATTTGGAAAACTCGCGCTATATCTCCCATTCTCTATAGTGGACCTTCTGTTAGTCTGAATGAAGCTTAGATCCCTGATCAGTTTAACCCTTTTCTAAATTTGATCCAGCCTGTTCGACTTCAATATTATACAAGATTTCTTCGACTATTGAATTAATATTTATTGGTTTAATCGCAAAATTAACATTAACATTAAGGTATGTTATTGTTACGAAAGTTTTATCATTATTAATCACATAAAACAGATGACTCAAATTACAATTGTCAATATTTGAAAAGCGAGTGTCAAAAATTGAAGGTACTTACTTAAAAAGATAATTCCAAGAATATTGAATGAAACAGGCGCGAAACCGCAGTATACATATATGGCTTGACTCAGTTGGTACCGACCAAAATTTCCGACCTTCCTAAATATTTCGTCGACATTAGTCTTTTCGTCTTGCAGATTGTTCGACATTTTGTAAGAAAATATTGTTAAAAGATAATCACACCTCTTTTGAGAAGACCACGGCGTCAGATGTTAACTAATTACCAATTTTTAAAACATGAAAGGACATGAAATGTATGTAGACGGTTTTTATAGGACAGACAGAAGAACGAACGTGTGAAAAAGGCAAGGTAGAATGAATTAATAAAGAGAGAAAGGAGAAATGTGGAACGAAGTGATGATGAGAAGCATGAAGACCCAAGAGAAAGAAAGAGAGAGAGTGAAGGAGAAAAGGGGGAGAGTAAGAAAATTACAATGATAAAAGATAAGAGTGAACGAAAACAAAAAAGCATTTATCTTGGTACTAGAGAGCAAAGGCGCAATATATATATATATATATATATATATATATATATATATATATATATATATATATATATACTGCTTCATATATATACACTTGTTTCATACCAATGTTTTGAA